GCCCCCTCGCCGCGTCCCCCCCGGCTGCCCCCAGCCCCCATCACAGCGCCGCTCCACCCTGTCTCGTACGGACGGCTCGGGTAAGGGGGAGCGCTGGTTTCCCCTTTTTGCTTTTTATTAATTTATTTCGTGCTTTATCTTGCGCTCAAGGAACTGGCGCTGAGAAATTTGGACTCTATTTTTCTTTCTTTCCGTCTTCTTCCTCCCTCCCCCTCCCCCGCTGCTTTCATTTCCAGCAATTTAAAACGTTAAGGTTGAAGCAAAGTAAGAAGGAAAATAATTGCTGTAATGAGGCTGGGCAATCTTCTGCAGGCACTGTGGCTCCAGCGAGACTGTAGCTGGGGGCGAGGCGGGACTTTTATCATCTCCTAAATATCAATGATGCTTTCAATAACTCAACGAAACAACATACCTGAAGCCAGTCACTTTCTCCAGAGCTCGCTGCCCCTAATCCTCCTCTTCTCATCTCTCGCTCTTCTCTGGCTGCCCCACTCCTTTCTGAGCTGGGGTGACTTTTGGGGTTCTGAGGTTGATGTTTGTGTGTAGGTTTGTTTTTTTTTTTTATGGGGGCTTTGGGGTTTTTGTTTTGTTGTGGTTTTAGTTTTGTTGTGTTTTTTTTGTTTTTTTGTTTTTTTGTTTTCCTTTTTCTTTTGATTTCCCCTCCTCTCCTTTTGGTCTGGCTTTCTTTTCCGATCATTTCTTCTCTCTGTGCAAGTGACAGTGTCTGTGATCCTGACCCCAACGCCGCGCCGGGCTGGGGGAGCGCGGTGCCGGCTTTTTCCCACGTTGTGGCTCTGGCAGAAAAAGGCTGGAGATAAACTCAGCCTCTGCGCGATTAGACCGCGGGTTCGGGGAGAAGATCTAATCGCGCAGGAGGCCACGTTTATCCTGTAAAGAAGCCCTAAAATAACCGAGATTTCAAACAGGGAGATCCGCCTTAAGCTGCCTCCCCGCATCCCCGCTCCCCTCCGCCGGCACCTTTGGGCGCTGCAGCGCTGGGCTCCGGGCAAGCCGGGACCCTTTCATCTCTCCGCTTTGTCTGTTTTGGCTTTTATTTATTTATTTATTTATTTATTTTTATTTCCCTTCAGTTGATTTTGTGGGAGTTTTAGGGTGTTTTTGGTTTGTTTTTTTTTTACATTATGTCAACTCGGGATGGATATTCCAAGCGCATGATTCCTATTGAACATGTCTTTGCTTAAAGTTTTCCCCCTGACCCTTGGGCTAAAGTCCTTGGTTGCTCAATTAAACCCAGATGAGAACAATTAATAACTAAGTAATGACAATAAGTTGGGAATCACACGGATGAACGCTCCATGTGAATAGGAAAAGCTCACACAAAAGAGCAAAAAGGATTTGTCGGCTCTTTTTAAGGGGGAATTGGCTTTTCTTTTTTCTTGCCTCTGGCTTACCAGCAAATAAAACTCACTTTTGTGTCTTTGTCGCCTTAAGGATCTCAGTGGGCAGTTGGAAGTGAGAATGGCTGTTTTCCTTTCAACTTGAGGGTGCTGGCGCCACGCAGCCCCAAGGATAGAGAATAGCCAAAGCAGTTTCCTAATAACTCCCTTCTCCCCCGCCACCCCTCCCCAGTCACTGTGGTACTCCAGACGGGGCAACCCTCTGCCGTGGGAAAGCGGGAGCGCCCTGGTGCGGCACTTTCCACGGGGGGTAGGAAATAAAGCGCACAGTAGCCACAGCACGGAGAGGGAGCAGACACCCGAAGAACCGCACACAAAATAAAAAGGGAAGCCATTTTTAGACTCTTATTTCCCAAAAGGAAGGGAACGGCTCCGTTACCGGCACAGGAGAGCAGCCTTCGCCAGGCACCAGCTCCGTGCGAGCTCCGGGAGCCCCGGCCGGGAAATGCGGTGACATCGCGCCCGGCTCCGGCTGCAGCACAGCCCGGCTTCGGGATGGGGCAGAGGGGTGGGCACCCGGTGTCTTAGCTTTGAAGGGTAAGGGAAGATTCTCCTTCAGTTTTAAAAAAAAGGCTACCGGGAAAACCTGCTGAACAAATCTTTGGTTAAACCGTGGATTTGTTGTCGGCTCCGAATTTCTCCTGTGTTCAGGGTTTCTTCCTGAATTCGCTGTTCAACTAGAAACACAAATTGGTGCCCTGTTGCCTTTATCTAAAGTTTTCCATAGTGCTCAAATGAATTCGGAGCTAAAAGCCTGTTTTCAAAAGTGAGGGCAGGCTGAATTCAACAAGTGAGTTAGGCACAGCAGCAGCAACCTCCTGCTGCTCAGGATTGTGCCTGGGAACACAACCTTCAGAAATCAGAGGCAAAGCAGGGAAGCTGCCTAACTTACCCATTGTAAAGGCCAAGAGGAGGGGGTGAGCCTGTTTCTTAGTAGTACTTCTATGTTTAAGTCCAGGCTCATAATCTTGTGTGATTCTCCCGAGTCACATAATACCTTCTTCCTAAAGATCTTCCCAGAACGTTGGATGAACTGTCTAGTCACCTTCACGGAGAAACAGAATACTTAGCACTGACTGCCTGGTTTCAGGTAAACATCTGAAATAAGCTATTTCCTATGCAAAATAAAAATCCCAGTCACCACTCACAGATAATTGCTCTTCATCTCTCCTAATGATACATTTGATTTTTTTATTAGACACGGAGGTGGCCAGAGAGTGCAATAAAAAGTGGCTGCTTAAATGTCCTCGTGGCCAGGGCACTCTTCAGAGCCTTAGGGACGTTCAAATTAAATCCAGCAGAGTGATGACTGGCAAAGGAAGTCTCCCATTGCTTGGGTTATAGTAGTGAGCTGTGGGATGCAATGAGGTGGTTCTCTCCCTCTCTAGTTCTCTGGAAAAGGAAGCTGATGTGGCTTGGGTACATAACTGCAAGGCAGCTTGTGACAGAAAGACACACCTTTCTGGTTATCACAGTGCTGAGTCCCACTATTTATATATTAGAAAAAAAAAAATATATATATATACTGTAACTCAAGGAGGGTGTGAGTTAGTGAAGTTTCCTTTCATTAGCTTTTAACTCTTTCCACACCTTGCGTGAAGCACACTGATGTCTGTCCCTGGCCTGAGCAATCTGTTCCACAGCGGGGAGCCTAAAAATGAGGCATTGCGATAATGGGCATTGCAACACACAGCTCCTTGGGGCTGGCCAGGCAGCTTGTGACAGAAAGACACACCTTTCTGGTTATCACAGTGCTGAGTCCCACTATTTATATATTAGAAAAAAAAATATATATATATACTGTAACTCAAGGAGGGTGTGAGTTAGTGAAGTTTCCTTTCATTAGCTTTTAACTCTTTCCACACCTTGCGTGAAGCACACTGATGTCTGTCCCTGGCCTGAGCAATCTGTTCCACAGCAGGGAGCCTAAAAATGAGGCATTGCGATAATGGGCATTGCAACACACAGCTCCTTGGGGCTGGCCCGAGGCCCCTCTGCAATAC